TCATCCACTCCAAGCTTCTGCTTGCCCCGGGCGCCACTCGGTCCACCAACGGCCGGCCCCGCTTGTCGCGTGGGGCTCCGAGCTTGCACTCGGGCGGTAGCTCCGGCTTCACCGTCAGGGTGGCCTTCAGACCCACGTCGTCCGCGCCACGTGGGCTGAAGCGGAAAACCATCCGCCGGGCTGGACCGTTGGGAGGAAAGGATCCGAAGAAAGGCTAGCCCGTTTGGTCTGGAAAGAGTGCTAGAAAACAGCCTGTTTGGTTTTCAGACATGACACGCCGTCTTTACATGGTCTTTGGAAACATATTGGAAAAGGCTAGTTTACAGATGGTGCGTTTATCTTTTGACCCTGATATCCCCTGTGACAAAATGGTTATCTCTTTGCATATATGCGTGGTGAACGTACCAAGAGCTTTGAGTATGGAGTACTCCAAGTCTCTTTGACAAACTCCTCTACCAATGGCCTTGATAGTCGATGTGCACTTTTGGGACTATAGATCCTAGATCATCCCCTGATCCGAAGAAAACTACAGTACCCTCCCCCACCTCGTTCTTGAAGAGATGCAGTGGTCACTGAGGCTCGCACGTCACTGCCAGGTGCTGCTTTGTCCCCCAAATGCTTCCTCACGTCACCGACATCGCCCCAGGTCAACTTCTTGAGACATCAAGACCACATGAGCTGGTCTCAAATGAACCATATCAGTAATATCAATATCAGCCAACAGCATGACCTGTTGCTTGCTCCCAGAATCTCTCAAGAACTTTGATGCTTCACAGGCTTCACACACCGGATGCCTCCACTCCGCTTGGGGGTTGCGTACCAAGTCCCCAAAGACCCGGGACCCCACCTCCACGAGACTGGACGGCCAAACCCGACCTGTTCCCCCAGCCGGACCGCCTGAGGAACTGCTTCTCGGAGGCCGCCGCAGAGAAGCCGGGAGGCGCCTGGAAACGGCCGGAACTTTCTAGCCTGGAACGGCCGTTCGGGTTTCCCCCCCCACCCTGCCGGATCGGTTGGGATGGCGGCTGAGGGTGTTTGGGCGAGGAGCTCCTTCGGTTGGTCGAAGCAAGGCAGGAGCTCCTTCGAGGTGGTGTCTCGGTCGTGCGGCGCACGACCCCTTCACATGTTGGTTCAAGGTACACTCCAAGAGACTTCCGACTTCCTCGTGTTTTTCCACCAGCTTCACAGCATCTTTCGGAGACTTGTCCGGCAGTCTGCCCATAGAACACTGTTGATGGAACAAAGTCGCAGATGCGACAGTTTCAAGCCCCTGAACGCTTGAATTGACTGAAGTATGCCATCCCTCCTATCACCAACTGCTGCACAAACGCTTCCACGTGAACTTCCCAATGATTTCTGAGGACCCAAAACGGAAACCTAGAGTCCGAGGCGAAAAAACGAAAAAGAAACCTAACGGATACAAATTCCAGAAGAATGGCATCCAAAACGCCACAGATGTTGGCGAACAACGAGCGCACACCGACTCCTCCATCGTCAACCAAAAACGCGCTGAAGAACACCGACTCCTCCATTCGAGTCGATGTCTTTTTCGTCGACCCATCGGCCGAGCACCCCGTCGGTTTGGTGCACCTTGGCCCCAAGGCTACGGCTGTGCGCCTCGCGTGTCGACACCCGGCACCGACGAGGACTCCGAGGGGTTTGACTTCAAAGAGGCGGTGCGCCCGCCGGTTCGCCTATGCAAAGCGGAGGTCGCCCGCCAGCATCGAATTCCGAGGTGAATTCCGACCAAGTTAGCTTTTCAGACTGCAACTCCCTCGGGGCCGGACCGAGGGCCGAAGAAAGCCCATGTGCCGGACCCAGCAACCTGGTTCACCTAACCATTATCTGCTTTCGCAGACCAAAAAACCGGAAGTGGGTGAGAGCTACGGCTAGAACGTACGACGTAGGAAATCCCTTGTGCTGGGTGCTTGTTATCCCCACGTACAGTGACCATCCATTTCGGACTACCATGGTAGCTCCGGAATCCACCCAGAAAACCGGGCCCCGGTGGTCTGGGCCGTATGCTCAAGGTCGCCGCGGTTTGGAATGAGTCATTGGCATCCGGTGGACGATCTTCTTGGTGCCAAACCATGACTGAAAAAAAACATCTCAAGAAAATGCAGCACCTTATCATGCGTGCTCAAACCCTGCGGCGAAACCCGTTTTCTTGCTTTTCTAGTTTTCACGCTCAAAGACAAGACAAGCAAGAAGACGTAAGAAAACTGGAAAAAACTTCCACACGGCAAAACGCGAGAACGGTTTTCTCGGTTTTCTAGTTTTCTCGGTTTTCTGGTTTTCTTGGTTTTCTCGGTTTTGCCGTCGCATCGCGCGGGCCACGACGCAGGTTTTGTGTTCTTAGACTCAAACCGGACCACTACTATGTCACCCTGTCAAGTACTGTTGTTGAGGACTTTTCGTCAGAGCACTCACCTCAATCAGGACAATTGACAGCCTGAAAAGTAGCTCTTCGGTGGCGTTCTCCGTCAAAACCGCGGTCCTTTTCTGGGAGTCTCTCGGTAATAACATGGAGATGGATTCAATCCTGTTTGGTTGCTTTGGTTAAGTGTGACAAACCTGGAGTCGATTTGAAGTCAAGCTTCTCCGTTTTCACAAAATATGAATTCTCAGTGCAATTAGTCCAGGGTGCCGTGGCCTCACAAGAAACCCTGCCGCGCTCGCATCCAGAGCCATCCCATGCCAACCCCCAAATCCCGCTGGCTCCTCTTCAATCTGCCAGCCCTCCATCCCTGGCAGATGCCAAAGCACCGCTTCTTGGAAGGTTCTGGTCGATGTCTCATATTTCTCCCAAGACAGTGTGAAATTCCCTCAGCGAACTGAGCGGCAAGTCTCAAACTCTCAAACTCTTCGGGTTTAGATGAAAAAAGAGAAGCCCAAAGCCATGAAAAGCAGCTGAGCACCCCATGAACAACAGCACGACTGGGCCCTGTCTCCTTCAAAGCTCTTCCAACCTCTTCGACCCACGGAACTGTGCCCCCACTCCTTCGTACCCCCCTCCGGTCACAGTGGCTTGGCCTCCGTCCAGCACGGGCACCGGGGCACCCGGGATCGCTGTGAGCCAGCGGCCGGCGTGGGGGGGTTCGTCATCTGCGCGGGGGTGGAGGTGAGACGCCCTGCGCTGCGCTCTGAAGCCGCGACCGCGCTCTGAGCAGCGTCCAGGTTTGGCCGAGCCCCGTCGCCTCGGTCCCGTCTGGCGTCGTTATCGTCCTCCTGGGTGGTCCCTCATCGGTTTCGCGTCGAGTGGCCGATTGCGTATCAGGCAGCAGTTCTCCACCTGTTGTCTAGAGTCTATGAGGATTCTCGCTGTGCTGGCAGGTTGTCTCTGCGGCCAGGTGGGTGGCAGGTCTCTGGGCCCTTTGCGTGATGTTCATGAAAACCAAGGAATCAGGGCTTCTGCCATCTTCCTCTTGTACGGATTGACAAATAATTATGACAAGCTACAAGATTAGTATGCAGTATGCGCCTTAGTGGTGATGGACAATGCAACGGACTATGACAGTTGGGGTTCACTGGGACAAAACCTATCTGCACAACTTGCCAACGTAAATTCCAAGTTCATCAGCTCCTTGTATTTCTTCTGGGGCGTCTTCGACAAAAAGCACACCTCGGACTTGTCCGTGTACCTGGCGTGTGGGTCTCGAACGGAAGGTGCTTCAGCGGTCGGCAGAGGTATTCCAAGAAGCCCAACCATCTCGGGAAGGCGACACCAGAGGCAACACCTTCTTTTTTTCTTTCGAAAACGCAAAAGGAACGATGGAGCCGACGGAGAATTCAAGTAAAGTCCCAGAATGGTGTTCTTGTTTTTCTTCGGGAAATTCCACCGGAAACTCCGTTTTGGGGGTGAAAACCATTGGTGTCCTGTGGATTCTTCCCTGCGGCCAATTCGGGGGATTGGTTCTAGAGACTCGATGGGGTGACGGCTGGTCAAGGCGGCTGGTCGTCGCGCAGGTGTTCCGTGCGGGTTCCGTTTGGCTCGTAGAAATCGTAGTGTGAACCCCCCAAGAGAAATTGATGGGGTCAGTGTAGACCCCAAATAGGCCAGAAACATATGCTGTGAAGAATCCACGCCTTGAATCACCTCATCCTCTCTTTATTTTGGGAATCCGGATGTGTGCGCAGAATATGGAACGCTTCACTTGTGCCAATCGGGGTGCGTGCTCATCTCATCAATCGCCTGAAAGGGAAAAAACGAAACGAAAGAATAGGAACAAGAAGGCTACTAGGGGCTCCTGGCCTTACTACTACGAGCAAGAACGCTACGAACGCGGCTCCTGGCCTCGCTACGAACGGAGCGATCGGACGCAAAAGAAGAAGCAACCCGAACGCATGCCCAAGCACCCACCAAGGTCCACTGCCCGCCCTGGGCGCCCCTCACATGGGATGAGGCCTCAAAGATGGAGGGAGCACAAGACGAGTCCATCCGGCGTGAAGGCGGCGAACTCTGGCACTTGCTGGGAATCACCGGAAATCCCTCCGTAGGTCGTGGGATCTCATCGAAAAGGTGGAATAGAATATAAACATATACAGTATATCCTGCGGCCAGTGGCTTTCTTACTCCAGTGATGCACTGATCCAAACTCCACCTCCTTTTCGCTCCCCTTTCTTCAGGCCCCTTTCGCCATACTCTACGTCCACCTCTTTTTCATCATTCTCAAGTACTCCGATAGAAAGACAGAACAATCCAAAACACACGTTTAAAAAAGCTCGAATAGGGAGACCTCCCAGGCGTGGCAAGGACCCCCTTTTCAGGTTCGGAACATAGACCGGGCCACCCAGCCGGGTGTCTCCTGGATATCTTCACACCCATATGCGTTCGGTTGCGGCGGCCTTCGGTTGCGGCGTATCTCCCCCCAGACCTTCGTCCCGGTTGGCCAAGTTCGTTGGGTTCTTCTCCGTCCGAGTTCTTTGGTGTGGGACCGAGCCCACGTGCGTCCGATCGCTCCGTTCGTAGCGGCCAGGAGCCCCGTGCGTAGCGTCCGATCCTACAGTAGTTCGTTTGGAAAATGGCCAAAAGTCCAGCACAAGATTGACCTCAGACAAGCATTTGGGTGTGTTTTAGAATAAGGATACCCTCCAAGCGATGGGTGTTAAAACAGTTTTGCTTATTTGTCCTTTGTCAGGAGGCCTGGGGTGCGGCGCGATGCAACAGATTTTTGGAGGTGTCTGCAAGGCCAGGTTCCATCAAATGTTTCATGCTTTCAAGGGGAATTTAAAGTTGGCTGAATAAGAAGGAGCTCTCCGACAACCAATTGATAGAAGTGTTGGGATGGAAGATTCCCAGGATAAAAAACTGTCTTGAACAATCACCAGCAGCTGCCTCCGCACGTGCATCTTCTAGTCATGCAGGGCGAGTCATGCAGGCCAGATCTTCGACAATCCAGAAACTCAGGAATGGTCACTCTTGTCAGTGAGTTGCAGCCAGCAAAGGCCCTCTTTCCAATCGTAGTCACAGAGCCCGGAATCACCAGGCTTGTCAGTGAGCTGCAGCCAGCAAAAGCACTCTCCCTAATCACGGTCACAGAGTTTGGCATTGTCAGGCTTGTGAGCGAGCTGCAACCAGCAAAAGCACCGTTTCCAATCTCAGTGACTGAGCTAGGAATCACCAGGCTTGTCATTGAGCTGCAGCCATCAAATGCACCCGCTCCAATCTCAGTCACAGAGTCTGGAATTGTCAAGCTTGCCAGTGAGCTGCAGCCAGCAAAAGCCTCACGTGCAATCTCAGTCACAGAGTCTGGAATTGTCACGCTTGTCAGCGAGCTGCAGTCAGCAAATGCAAAGGCTTTAATCACAGTCACAAAACCTGGAATTGTCAGATTTCTTAGTGAGCTGCAGCCAGCAAATGCACTGTCTTCAATCTCAGTCACTGAGTCAGCAATCACTAGGCTTGTGAGTGAGCTGCAGCCAGCAAAGGCCCTTTCTTCAATGAAAGTCACACGATCCGGAATTGTCAGGGTTGTCAAAGAGCTGCAGCCAGCAAAAGCCTCACATGCAATCTCAGTCACAGAGTCTGGAATTGTCAGATTTGTAAGCAAGCTGCAGCCCTTGAAGGCTCCCCACCCGATACGAGTCACTGAGTCAGGAATCACCAGGCTTGTGATTGAGCTGCAGTGAGCAAATGTCGAGCCTTCAATCTCAGTCACAGAGTTTGGAATTGTCAGATTTGTAAGCAAGCTACAGCCAAGAAAGGCTTCCCACCCGATACGAGTCACTGAGTCAGGAATCACCAGGCTCCTGAGTGAACTGCAGCCAGCGAAGGCCCTTTCTGCAATGAAAGTCAGATGATACGGAATTGTCAAGGTTGACAAAGAGGTGCAGCCAGCAAAAGCCTCACGTGCAATCTCAATCACAGAGTCTGGAATTGTCAGACTTGGCAGTAAGCTGCAGCCAGCAAAGGCTTCCCAGTCGATACGAGTCACTGAGTCAGGAATCGCCAGGCTTGTAATTGAGCTGCAGCCAGAAAAGGCCTTTTCTTCAATGAAAGTCACACGATCCGGAATTCTGACATTGGTCAGTGAGCCGCAGCAAGCAAAAGCACTCCGACCGATCACAGTCACAGTCTCTGGAAGTGTCAGATTTGTCAGAGAGATGCAGTCGGCAAATGCAAAGCCTTGAATCTCACTTACAAAGGCAGGAATTGTCAGGCTTCTCAGCGAGCTGCAGCTAGCAAATGTGCCGGTTTCAATCTGAGTCACTGAGTCAGGAATCACTAGGCTTGTGAGTGAACTGCAACCATCAAATGCACCTGATCCAATCTCAGTCACAGAGTCTGGAATTGTCAAGCTTGTCAGTGAGCTGCAGTCAGCAAAAGCCTCACTTGCAATCTCAGTCACAGAGCTAGGAATTCTCAGGCTTGTCAACGCGTCGCAGCCACGAAAGGCCCTCTGTCCAATCCGGGTGACAGAGTTTGAAATATTTACTTTAGCAACAAGTCTGCAGTCAGTGAAGGCGGTCCGAGGGATGTCCGTCACGCCATCTGGGATGTTGACCACGAACAACGCTTCTTCGTCCGAGGAGCCGCGGAGCTGCCTGCGCAGCGAGCGGCCCACTTCGTTTTGGTGCGAGCACTCCACTGAGCGGACCTTGGATTTACATGGACTGAAGTTCATCTGGGAATTGAAAGTGTGCTCCGAAAACAATTATGAAGGCAATTTGGTATGTCCATGTATGTGACAAAAGAAAAAGGGAAAAGGGCTATGGGTGTAGGAAAAGTGGACCGAAGCCCATTGGTTCGCGACAAACACAGACCGACTCGGTGAAAGAAACACCAGACGAGGATGCAACTTGTCAGAAGTCAAATAATTGAAAAAGAACCAGCTTGCTTCAAATGGAAACAAACAAGCAAACAAACAAAAACCTAACCCGACCCCAAATGCCAAAGCAAACCCGACCCCAAATGCCAAAGCATTCGATTCAGAAAGAAAATGCACCCTGAGTCTGAACAGGTCCTGAGGACCGTGAAGAAGACCTGCAAGACCACATCTTCGGAAAGCCCTGCTTCCACCACAGTCTGATCATCGGTGAGCTTAGTTTCACCCACCAGCAATTCCACCATGGTCACCGCTTTCATGGACTCATCGTCGGCTCGAAGCAAGTCTTTCAGCTGCCTCTTCAACTCCTGGATCGTCATCTCAGGCAGGACATCAACGATCACAGCCTCCCCACCTGACACGAAAGCGCACAGTGCTCACTAATTCCCCCACCCATCAAAGCTAACGTGCTGGCTCCCACGTGCTTTTTGCGCAGCTGTTCCGGAGAACTTGTCCTACGGATTTCACAGGTGATATCTGTATCTCTGCAAAAGCTATAATAATAATTTAAAAGAAAAAGGATGCTGAAGAAGAACTGCGTCACTCATCTGCAGCACTGGAATTTTCATCATGGCTCAGCTGGTGCAGCTGGCTCAGCTCGCTCAGCTCGCCCTGGAAGGCAAGCTGACTCTGCACTGGAAGGCAAGCTGACTCTGCACTGGAAGGCTAAACTCGGCTGTTCAGTGCCAAAAATGAATTGCGCTTCTCCTCAACTCCCACTCACCAAGCTGGCTGCAGCTTCAGCACGGTATATAAGTACTTTCCTTCAACAACCAAAACTATGGATCATATAAGCTTATATAGATTTATGTATACTGTATATCGTGGTTGTCTCAACTCATTTGGCATCTTTCGGCCTTACCCCTCGGTCCCTTGACCCACATCATTGGAAAACGTTTGGACCACCGCGACGGCCCGGCCACGGGCTGGGAAAGCCTCAAAGGTATGGGATTCGAAGGTACAAAAGCAATTACCAGATTACCATTCATAGACAAACACTGCGCAGTCCAGGTCATCTCATTCCATCAAAAGCCGTTGAGTGAAAAAATCTCAAACACCGCCTTTCGGTTGAGCCACCCCCCTGGCAGCCAATGTGCCGAACATTCCCGTCAACACCTTGTGGAGACCAAAGGTGAGGCATTTCAGGGGTGTCCCATCATGTCCCGTCTACTGTGGAAGTGAGGTCTATCCCAGCTGAGGTCTGAGCCTCTCCGATTCACCCCACCCTCCCATCCTCCTCCCGCAGTGGACGGTCGCGACGACTCGCGGCTGGAAAGCCACGGCGCAGGGGGATCACCGCAGGGTGGCCCAGCCTGGTGAGAGGTCGGGGCGTGCTTTCGTGCGGCAAGAGAAGCGTACCAAACCATGAACAAGTGAATGCCCCTTGTTTAGAAGTACTTGAGCCATGCTTTCTTCTTTAGAAAAAAAAACGAAGACATGGGTGGCTCCAGGAGGATGCTGCGGATTGATTCACCGAGATCAAAAAATGAACTTGCACTTCTGGAAGGAATCAGCCTGTGAAAAACCGTGTGGGTTCCTTTTTGGGTCGGCAGTTTGGAGACATAGCCATATGTATCATATGTATATACTATATACCTTCCCCAAAAATAGAAACCCAAGTCACTGGCAAGCCATTCATGTTTGATCAGCAAAGAGGAGAAGTTGCGACTGGATCCTGCATGTTGTTCTCCTGTATTCCAGTTGCTACTTTGGACATTGTCAGCGTGATGTAGATCAAAACTAGTAAACACTGAAAGTACACAGGATCAGTAACATCCCCTCAGGTTAAGGAACAGTTGCGCTGTTTGACGACCTCAGGGAGCTTTTTCAACCCGGAAGGTATCTGATTTGTTCAATCCCTCAAAATATCAACTCAGTTTGCAAATGGGGCCTGGCAATTTGCCGCAGCTGATACAGAGCACGTTTGACTTTAAGGATCATGAATGATGTCAGATTGCTGGAATCCGTTCAACAACCATTGTTAGGCCCGCAAATTTGCAAGTTTGATTGAAGGGAGTGGTCACAGAATGCTTAAAGGCATCTTAAAAAGCTAATGCTTTGGACTCTATTCAAGCCGATCAACCCCAGTACATCACCCCACATCACCCCTCATCCCCCCACATTTGAAGAACGAGGGATCACCACGGACCCCTATCCCTTTGCATGTATCTAGTGCTTTCAACCTGCTTTCTCACCCTGCAAGAACTCTCCTTGTCTCGTTCGTGCACGAGACGACTCACTCCGCCTCTCCGATCCCCAAAGGGATATGGGTGTGTAGTTGAAATCCGGGTGACCCCCTGGCCCTGGCTGGGTAGACTGGTCTATTTCCCTTCTTTTTTGGGATTCAAACCGGGAGGTCTCCTGATTCTTATACACTTCCATATGCATCTTCCTTGGGCACGGCAGTTTACTAACAGCTTCAAGCCTGGGTGGACCGGAAGAAAGAGCTCATAAGGACGGGCCCAAGCTGTGTTGATCACCCAGCTGCTAAGCTGGGCATGGAACCACCACCACCCAATAAGACACCCCAATAGACACCCCCCGCAAAGCCAAAACTGAACCTGAGAATTCCACCGGTACAACCCAGTGGTTTTGCAGGGTTCTCTGTTGATCTACAGGGGGGCAAATCAAAATACCCCCAGCCCAGCCCGCGACACCTGAATCCATCTCTGCAGATCGGTCGGTCCGGGATCCCCAGCTTCTCAGGGACCCTCGCGATGGCCAGCTGCACCGTCATGGTCCTTAGGTTCGAGGGCAAACCCGGACGAACCGCTGAAGGGGCCCCTGAGGTGGGAACGCCGGAGGATTTGGAGACGAAAAGCCAGTGGGGAGGGGATGATGAATCAAGACACCCCAGTTAGTCAGTGGTGAATTTGTGATCGAAACTTGAAACATTTCAGTAAATAATAATCATTACTGTCTAGTAGTGGAGGAAAAAAGAAAAACATCTGGTACGGGGGAGTTGAAATATCATCAATGGTTTGCATTAGAACACTCTTGGGTCACACTTGTAGGACAAATCTTATAGCACGACACTGCTTGAGACTCTTCTAGGGCACGCCGTGGTGACCAAAAAGGCCGCAGAAACAGGTGGGATCGAAGCTGGCATGGTGGTGATGGTGCTCGGCCCCGGAAAGGGCTGGGAACACCCCTTGAAGGTTCGGCCGTTTGGTGATCTGGTCACTCAGAAGGTCACCCTGCTCATTGGGGCTCATGGGCATCTACATCACTCATCCACTTTGAAGGGGCCAAAGATTAGGAGATCTCTTTCGGCTTCAACTTGCTAATCGGGCACCTCCTGAAAAAGGAACATGGGAAAGAGCTGTTGTAGAGACGTCCAGCTGCACGAAATTGCGATGAAGATCAAATTTCTTGTGTAGAGACTTGTCTACCTATCAGGAGACCAAAGTCGGATGCAAACCATCTAACCTGCCAACCCTAGAAGATGGGAAAACCCGGAGGAAAAACGAACCGTTTTTCAGTGTTTTGATGGTTCCAGCTAGTGCCAGTGCCCTTCTTCCAGCCGCAGTGGGTAATATTGAAATGTATCCGACCAAGTAAGTAGACTCGACCACATGCAAAATGGATTTCGATGGTGGCTTTGATTCGATGTCAACACACCCACCTCGGAACCCCTGTTCAGACCCGTCAAAGAGTCCATGTCACGTCCATGCCATGATCAAACACTGAGCCCTATAGAAGAAACCCAATGCCAGTTCACTGCCCCGGTCTCCACCCTGCACCCCCCCCCCGTCTCCACCAAGATCTCCCCACGGTTCCCCTCTCGCCGGTTGCTCGACCGTCCAGCCGGTCGACCGGTCCCTCCCTCCGAGGCGCTCCGTGTTCTCGGTGAAGAGCGGGTTCTCGTTGCCCGAGCGCTTCTCGAGCACCTCCGCGCCACGCGACCCGGGACCCGGACCCGGGACGTCTGCGAAAACAGGGCGCAAGCCGGTCGCGATCGGAGCCCGCGACGGTCGCGTGGGACACGGAAAGGGCGAAAAGCGCGCCCTGAAGGGCGCGAAAGGCCGGGAAAGGCCAGCCGTGTGACAGCTGATACTTCACACCACTTCGCAGAAGGTGTTTGTTCATACATCTCCATATGCCCGATGGAGTGCTATTGCTCAACAGTCATCAACTAGTCAACCATCTTTCTGGTGGTTGATCGTCACCATCTACGAAAGCCGGTCTGAAGGAAACAGTTTGGAAACCGAAGCTTTCACCCCACAAAGCATAGGCTTCCTCTCTCATTTTCCCTTCAACCTCTTCTGGGACTTGTTTGGATTCCAAACGAATCCACTCAGAGTTGGATCAATGATTGAGAACTTGGATCCCTTCCAAGCCGTCAAATCAGCACGTGGGTAAAATGTGCAGCAGGCCCGTGGGCTGATGCTTCGCTTCGCTCAGCTCTTCGACCCAACGACGCGTCGCACGCGTTCGACGGCACCTGCTTCACGGCGCGCACCGCCTTCGCCAGCGCCGCCTCCGGCTTGCGGCCACCGCTTCGGCTCCCGGCCGCGGTGCGGTTCCGGGGCTCTCCGGGGAGGCCAGAGAAGGCGTTGAAACGTGGAGGTTTGATGGCCGATCATGGATGTTTGCAGATTCTTGGTAGCTTTCTTGAACCACTTGGCAGAGGCCAACAAGGGAGCCACGGGGGAGGCGAGCGGTCTTCTCTTTGGCAAAAAGAATCTGGTTGAGCCAAGTAGATAGTTCATGATAGCACATTTTGCCCAAGCACTCCCCTTCTGTCCAAATGATCACTCCGTATCACTCCTAGTGTCAGTGTGTGCGTTTCTCTCTGTGTTTGGGCCTTGCCAATCACTGGCAGCACAGCTCGGCGGATCCTCCGAGCCCCCGGCCCAGTCCGCACCGTCTGTCGCCTCCACCCCCAGCGATTTGGGAGCACAGTCCGAGCACCGTCCAGGCCTTCTTGACCTTCACATCATCATTCACACCGCCTCAAGGCTGAAAGAGGTCACCAGCAGAGCACTGGCAGTCAGCACCATGGCACAGCAGGGGGTCAGGTAGTTTCCGGCACTGGGTTGACCCATGCCCTTTGACGAAGCAAACAGTGCCGAAGGTTGCCCCCGGCTCGGGCAGAGTTTCCCGGACCTCTTCGCCTCTCGATGGCTCCAAAAAAAGGCCCCCAAAAGCACAGGTGCTGGCAATCTCCAGCAAAGGGCTACTAGGTTCCGGGTAGAATTTGCCCAAGACCGGCTCATTTCCAATCGAATCTCCTTAACCAATAGCTCCACTCGTCCAACTGTACTACTGAAAGTTACCGCTCAAGATGATGGGAAATTCACCACTGGAGAACATCACGTATCTACAGTGTCTGGAATCATACATTGATCCGAATGAACTAGCTGAGCCCATCACTGGAAATTGAACCAGCCCAGCAGTTCTGAACGAAGACCAGCACCCCTTCCACCCCTCTCGCCACACCAAACCAGGGCACTCTCGCTGGTGGGAGCCTCCTCGCGGGATCCGGGTCCGGACGTGGACCGAGAGACCGATCTCTTCGAAGGGCGGAAGAATCGACCCATCCAGTTCACCCGCGAAAATCGAAGGACCAAATCACGCTCCCTGACGGAGCCAATCCGTTTCTCGAGTCCAAGGCCCGAACAAGCGAAGTCGGTGCCACAGCCGATCCGACCGGGTGGGAACCAGATGCGAACCCGGAGTGGTGGGCCTTTTTGCTGCGCTTTTTAGAAGCCAAACGCCCTAGCCGTGGAGATAATGATGAAAGAAGGCTATGAGTGGTGACTTGGTTATGATCCGGTGGGTTAGTCTCTCCCAAATCAAACTCATTTCCAGCAAACAACTTCGGGAACTCACACAAAAGCATGCATGCATTGCGTGCGATACATGTCAACTCCCACGAACGCAGCAGCACCGGGAGCTCCACTCCGCTCCTTACTCGCCATGGCTCCGCCACCCGCTGTGCCACCCGCCGCCCTGGTCCCACTGATGTCACACCGGCGCGGTGCCAGCGATGAAAACTCGGACGACGATGGACAGCGACGGTGGAGGAATGGATTCCAATCCATCGGCATGGGCGGTCCTGAGGTCCTCAAAGCCTTGGGATCGATCCGTGGAAAAGAAAAAAAAAAGAAAGGGTCTCAAGATTGAAGTCATTGGCATCCGACAGGGCACACAGTCATGCATCCAACACGAGGTATCACTTCAACCCCTACTGGACCAAACTGCCCAAAGAAGAAAGATCCCAAGCTCTGCCGCATCGCCGTGAGTGTAGACAGATCGCCAAGCACCCCTTCAGCGAGCTTGACATGCTCGAAGTAGAAACCCAATCACCCGGGACTGAACGGTGTTCTGTTTCGAGTCCCGAGCATGTGCAAGTCTAGATTGATTGGCCGAAAAGAAACACCCAAAAAAAGAAGAGGCCACTTCGTTGCAGCTTCCCAACCCGAAATGGGTCCCTCCAGCTGCACCGAATTCGCCCCTTTTTCCTCCCGAATGCCTTGGGCACGTTCGGCTTGGCCGAACCCCGCTTCCTTCGGGCGCCGAGGTCGCCGGGAGGTCGCCCAACCGTCCGCCAGGCGGGCGGCGCGTTCGGTGGCCAGCGACCTCCGACCGGAACGGCCGTGGCTCATTCATCTGACTAGATCTGATCTTCTAAGATGTGTGAGTATGTTTGATGGGGTCGTCGGGGTCGAGGTGGCACCGGTTTTCCCAGGACCACGACCCCGGTGTTTGGTCTCGAGTCTGATCGTCGGTCCAGCCCTGGCAGGAAGACCCAGAGGTCCGGAGATTCAGAGGGGCGGGAATATCCAAAAACGGCCGGACATCATTTCGAATCAACTCAGACGGCGCCGTCCTGATTTGGCTTCTACTGAGAGTTCTAGCGATATACGACCTCAAAGCCACCCACACTCATGTATCCTTCTGCTCCTTTTACCATGGAAAATGGCACCAAAGGGGTCTTGTGAAGGTCCGTTTTTTCATGTCTCACCTTCATGAGCAAAAGGGAATGTAGACTGTTGACTGTTGATGAATAAAAAAAAGTAAAAAAACTGTTTGCATTGTAACATCTCTTCATCCACAGGCTTGAAATATCATCAACAGTCTACATGGGTATGTATTTCAATAGGGAGACCACCTGGCCCTGGATCAACTGATCTATTTTCCCTACCCACCAGGGGAGGTCTCTTTTGGAGCTACACACCAGAGGGAGCCTCTCGGCACTCCGCTCGATTCACCGGCCGCATTCGAAGCCGGCACGTCGGCAGCCGCTCGCTTTCAAGCAGGCCGTCAGGAAGCCCCGGCGGGTGAAGCTGTCCTTCGTGGCGCCGTGAGGGGCGGAGAAAGAACCAGAGATGGAGGCAAGTGATCCAGTCCTACCTGATGAATACGATCACTGGGTATTTGGGTTAGGTGTGTATTGACAAGCACCCAGAACTTGGACAAGTGACTTTCCCTGCATGGACTCCAAGGCGAAAGTAAGTCCGATCAATACACATGTTGTGGGGGGCACAGAAATAAGTTGAAATCCTTTGGGAGAAAGATGCGGAGAAATCATGTCACTTGAGGATCTTCATGGTGATGCTCTGCGAGGCTTTGACCCCCACCAGATGGAGGAACTGCTCAGCATGGTTCAACCTGTCGTGTGCCGCATAGGTGCGCAAGATTGTTCAGATTCTGTTTTGTGGCCAAGCAACATGAGACATGAAACCTTTCTTCATCTTTTGAGCCATGCCCAAAAACCTTTGGTGAAACAACGACCGAAGAGGCCAAAAGGGGAAAAGGTACGATTTTTGCTCTGCTTCTGCTGTGCAGCTACGGTACCGGCAAATGACAGTCATATAATATCATTCCTGGGCTGCCCAGCCGGGTGTTCCGGGTCAATAATCGCCATCAACCGCCGTGCCACCTCACAAGGACGCATTGGAAAATGGGAAATCAGATGACATGTTTGTTCTGGGCCGATGTTTCCCAGCGTGAAGCCTCCAACCACCTTTTTGTATAGAGAAACTTGTCCAACTGTGCATGCCATCGTTTCGCCTGGCCTCTTGGGAAAGAAGACCTTCTCTGAGCAAGTCACGCTCACGCACATGGTCGTCCTGCTCTCACGCGTTGAACTCCAGCTGTATCACACAACAGTCTGCCACTGATAGAAAGTTCAAAAAACAAAGCCCCTTAGCTACCGTCACTTCTCATGCGCATCACGTCCCTTCACATCCCCCCTCCTCGTCGGCATCCAAGCGTGTGAAGAGTTCATTCCTGATCCAGCAGACGGTGGCACAGCTTGAGGGTCAAGGATGCGACAACCAAGTTGCTAAAAAATGACCTTCTCTACTGTCACCTCGACCAATACGAGAGCTGGCAGAACAATCTGTCAAAAAAGACTTTGTGGAGGGCAGCCACCCATCCGAAGTGCGGACCGTGCGTTTTCAAGTCTCCGTGTGTTAGGGTGCTCGAAGCAAAAGGTGATTGAAGCCTGGGGCTGGTCCGGGCTCTCCACCTGGCCAAGGCACCAATAGCTCCACGTGGCATCTGGAAGCTCCGGCAACAGCGAGAAGGGCATTGGCCTCGGCACTTCTGCTGCAAAAGCCACACTCAACACACACTCCGGAGTCCACCACACCTCCACAAAACCTCACAACCTGCTTCCCTGCGTGGAGGCTTACTGGCTAGCCGTGCACAAGTGCTAGGATAGCTTTATCCACTACCCTACTGCACACTGACCACACTCTCACTCATGCGTCCATCCAAGCCGGAAAGGCAGCACACCACAAGCTCACGCGACTTGCATCTTGTGAAAATCACAACCGGAGAGTCAGCATGCCATCTATCAACATAGAGTACGTCCAGTCTCTTCCTCCGTCGTCCTGTTTCCACATCCAGACAACGGCAACACATGCAATTGAAATCGACCCAGCACCGAATCCCAAGCACCTAAACCGCACCTGAGCACTTGGGCACCCAAAAGCCGCTGGTCATAGCAACAAGGCCACTGTGGTTGATCCCCATGGCTTTCGGGCATTTTGTATTGACCCATCCTCTGGACTTACGCTTGAAGTCTGACAAAAGAAACTTTTACGACCCCCTGCAACAAGCTTTCTTGCAGGAATTCTTGGTCTAAATGTTGTGTTCATCGTTCATCTGCCTGTAATTGTAAAGATGTGGGATCTGCCACTCTGTGGAGCATGAGGAGCGGATCCAAAGTCCAAAGTGACAGGAAGTCAGTTCCCCAACCCCCCAACGGTCTGGAGGATCGAAAATCAGCCATGAAAGCGGAAAGTTGGCCCCTGGAAGACCATTCCTTTATAAACAGCCGGTCGTCCACTTCCATGTTAGTCAGTCGGAGGGTGAGAGATTAGTCTAAAGTTTTATATACAGTTTTACAGAGTGCCCAGTAGTGTGAAAGTCCTTTACAGCCAATGTCAGGTACCTCTTAAACAAGTAACGCCCCTACCACAGCCAAACTGTTGGATAGTATGATTGGCATCGGTTCCTGACAGGGGTCCCGCCAATGGCATGAGACTTGCCTAGTGCAAAGGAATGTAAGGTAGACAGTCTACCAATCTACCGTGGCTCCCCAGGGACTGAAGAGGGTTTGTTCACTCCATGTCTGGGGGGTTATTCTTCATCAAGAGTCTACATGTGATGCACACTGACCACCTCACTGCTCACTCGTCTTCACCCCGAGGAGCTCAAACCAAAAACGGCACGGTGCGGCCGCGGATCGCCCCAAGCCAACTCGTCGGGCGGTCGCCACAGCGAACACGTTGGAAGCAGGTTCATGTACCAGGTATGGTTCGGAGAAAGTATTGAACATGACGAACGAACGAACCAAGAAAGTAATCATCCACCAGGTGCTGTGCAGAGATTCTTGCCTTCCTTCTCCAAATTTCAACCACCACTGGGTGAACTGGACGGGTTCTTCAAGGACAGTCCGACCCCCTTGACAGCTTCAGGTGCGCAAGGCACGTTGAAATGTAAATCTGTTGAAAACGTACCTGTGACATCCTGTGACTATTAGGACGATACATCTATAAATCCTATGGCCCCTGATTGAGATCTAACGTTTCACTGGCACGGTCACGCCGGACTGGGGTCGCGCCGAGACCTGGCGGAGAACTGCTTCTTTCGAAAAGGAACGAGACGCCCCGTCTCAACATGACAAGCGAAAAAATATTCACCCAAGCAGGTGGGCCTTAGCCAGAATCTGATGCTGAATCTGCAGCCAGAAAAAGAAAGTGGTAGCTGGAAACTAAGTCAATCAGCACATTTCTGCTGGAGAAAAAAAACACTCGAACCCTGACATGTCACCAGAAAAGGAAGAGAAAATGGACACCAGGCTACAAGCTGTCCTTTCTGCAGGTCGAAGCTGGCACCGATATGGCCACTTCAAGTGGCAACAAGCCAAGACTATCCCGTTACGGATGGACTGTCGTGGACGAACAGATGAAAGGTCCCCAGGTCGGTTTTGTGGTCCAGGTGAGTCCTGTGTGACAGCCATGAAATCATGAAAACCTCTTCTAAATCCCTTCAACAAAGAGCACGACTCGACTCTGGGTCCGGTTCCGTTTCTTTGCTCAGGGTGAAGGCCATGAAAAGGCGGTTTAGTCACACACCAAAAGGACGGACCTGGCCATTTCAGATGAAAACCAACACCACCCCCCGCCAAGCCCCGCCAATTCGACGCAGGCGCTTCAGCCGTCGTCCGGAGCGGCTCGTGCGGCGGTCGGTCTCGGCGAAGAGGTCCTCGTTGGTCGACCAACCGTTGCGGGCGAGAGTCGGGTCTCTTCGTCCAGAAAGTGAAGCAAGAGAGGGGATTTGGGACAGATTCGAATAGAGATTAGAGATCTGGAAGATGTGAATCTGAAGCAAGAGATTTGAGGTACCCACCTGCCCAAGCACCATAGTTCAACGATTTGGCCCTGTTCCCCACCTTCTTTTGGGCGCTCGACCTCTTTCTTTACACACCCCACACACCCGTTTTTTAGAGGAGAAGCACCTGGCGCTCTGTCAACACTCAAGTGACAGGGAAGTAGAATCACCCTCCCTGGAAAGACCATGATAATTCGAGGACCAAATGGACCTGCGACCTCGTGGCCAGTGTTTTTCTCACTTTTAGCCGATCCCGGCCGTTGGAAGCGGGGAAAAGTCGATGACATGAATCCAGCCGAGCCCAATTGGGGGGGTCAATATCCCATCAAACTTGTGCAATTCATGAGCAGAAAGGGCTTTTTTGACCGATTCATTGAGAGACCATGGCACAAAGGAACAAGTGGAATACTCTGAAAATCACGCCTTGGGAGAGATGTTCTTCCTCCACGAAAACCAGTGGTTTTCCCCTTCCGAAATCGCGCCCGAAGAGTTCCTATCCGTCGAACTCTCCATCCTTCAAGAGGAACGAATCTCCGGCTTTTGCAGGCTTCAAAGTCGCAGGCGGTGACCGAACGAGATGGAGATCCTCCTTTCACCTTACCAAGCAATGGTCCTCCCCCCATTACCTTCATTCCAAACCACGAATTGGACTATTGTGTCAGAGGCATGTCCCCGAAACACCTCTTTGCAGCTCTACATCGCGATCAAAAATGCCATTGCTTTCCATCATTTTCCATCCAAAAGCGTGGAAACCTTAGGCCAAGCTGTTTGGTTTCCTCCCTGCGTGCTCCATTCCGAATCTTTGGCCCCATCTCCTCTTCTTTGGAAATCTCCTCCGTGAGGTGTCCTGAACCACCGCTGCTTTCTTCAAACATGCCAAGGGTGGAGCAGGCCGACTCCAGTCCCGTGGGCTTGGATCTGTGATTGCAATCCGGGTTTCACCCCCAACCAATGTGTAGACTGGTCTATCTTCCCTTGGAGTCCAACAGGGATGGTCTCCCTATTTTGACATCGGTAAGGCTGGTCAATTCGGTTCATCCCCCGCTTTTGACCCACTGCCCCAGAGCTTCTGGGTGGTTGAGGAGTCCAGATCTGAAATGTCTTCACTACCTTCAAGGACCTTCGTCCAAAAAGGTCCCCCTCAATCGACGGCCGGTTCTGAGGTCTTTCGAAGAGAGATCAGAAGGATATATCATGATATATTTCTTCAATGGGGTGTGTATCAAAACAGGAACATATCACCGGTTCGACACCCCCTGGAAGGAGATGATGTTTGTTGCTCTGGTCTCCCCATTCGTTGCAAGTCTCCCCATTCGTTGCACCTGCTGATGAACCCACCGTGCCCAAGGACACTGAGACATATATAACTTAACGAAGACTCCGAACGGAGAAGATCTGTACGACCAGGGCCAGCAGCGGCTATGGGCACTATCTGTTTACAAGTGTTTCGTCTCCAAAGCCCCCCAAATCCCTTGTCGATGAGTAGCAGGCTGAGGGGGGGAGCTTTTCGAGTCTTGAAAGAGCTGGCGAATTGTAGAACTTCCACAGCTTCAGAAGCAAGAAACCCATATTTAAACCCCTTTCAATCCCTTTGAGGTTCTTCCTTCCCCCCAATTTCCCCCCCCCAATCCCCCCCGCAGTAGTTCGAACCTTCGAACCTCTCACGGATTCCGAACGTCCGAGCCACGGATGCTGCCCTGCAGCAACATGCCGAAGACGTCACGGTCCTGCAGCTCAGTCGTCTGTCTTCATCGGCAGCGAACGTGCCAGGTGTGGTGAGTGCGAGCCGAAGAGCTAAAGGGTGGTCTGGCACTTGGCTTCGTGAAACGAATCCCAAAGAGCCAGGGTGGATGAGGTCAGGGTGTAGAAGTAGAGGGTTTTAGCCGGGGGAGGGAGAGGGTGGAAGAGGTGTGAAGACTCCCAAGATTTTCTTCAACCACCATGCATTCAGAAACAACACTTTTGATGTTTGCCAGCAGACACAGCAAAAACATGCAAAAACACGTCAACACCTTGCCAGCTTCTAGCGAGCTCTCTGGTGAAAGCAGCGGGGAATGGGTGTCATGGACGCCTCGCAAAAGGTGGGAGACTTGCTGTTCCTGACAGGTATGGCCGAGGTGGATGGCCAATCTGGCGTGGCAGGACGATGATGTGTGGGGCCCAGCACACGCCTTGTCCCAGAAAATGCCAAAACAAATTGTCAGACCAACACCCACGTTTAGGCTACGAGGACCGTCCAAGCCCGGATGTTTTTTGGACACCCCCGAATCATCTCTTTACGAGGCCAAAAAAATAACACCTCAGAAGGAAGGTCCAGGGTGGCAGAGAAAGCTTCGTCGGCGGGATGCTTCGTGCAAGGACCGTCGACGGTCCCTAGACGCAAGGAGACGGTCCTCCTCTCCTCTCCTCATCCAGTCTCGTCTTGGAGACCACGAAAACATGCTTGTAGATGTGGATCAATTAAAGAAATAATATAATATATATATATATATGTAAAGGGATGTCAACCTTTCATGGTTTTGGTGGATGAGGTTTTGACAGAGTGCACATGATCACACACTTTCCACACAACTGTTTGGACCCAAAAGAGACGAGCAAATTTCATGCTAAGCTGTCCTTCCTCCGTCCAAAAAAAAGAATACCCTCCTGGCCCTGCATCGAGGGCAGGCGGTAGCCGTCAGGGCACATCATTCGAAGGAAGTCGCCTTTGTCCAGGCAACCTCGGCACCGTCGGTATTTGACGTCATTTGACATAAAATCATGGCTTCTAGTGGTGCCCAAATATAGATAGTGGCACAGTGTCCAATACCTCTTCTACGTAAAGACTTACGAACCTCTATCATATTTGGGGGTCTGTATAATTGGTGTCCTTTGCAAAAATATCATGTGCGTCCCTTCTATTCTTGGGCTTTTGGACTGTGCTGCACGGGCCGTATGCTTCAGCATGGCTGAAAAAAAGAAACGCGCGGTCGAGCTGGTCCGAAGGCATTAGGGAACAAATGCATCTTCTCGTAGCGAAGGATCGGCAACCTCAACACGACAACGAAACCTGAAAGTGTGTGTTAAAGCTTGTTGAGTATTAGAGGCTTAACATCAACAGACTAAAGTGAAACAAATCGACTCTATGTAACATCTAATGCTTCAATAAGCTTTGAACACCAAAGAGACATAGTATGGCTTGGAAGAACCATTGACAAACACCATTCTCCACATGAAACATTCCAAGAAGCGCCATTTGCATATTTCTCTACTCTCCGTACTCGAAAACACTACTTTCAAAGACCCCTGCTCAACTCCTCCCTGCTGTTGAAGGAGGAAACCCTGCAGCAGAGCAAATGGAGAAGACCCGACCAATTACACTCACTGGCATCATGGTGGAAGTGGACGGCACGGCCCCAATTTTGGACCCTGAAATCCGAGTACCAACCACGTGGTGAAGTCCACTTCCATATTTCAGGGAGTGCCTGGGTCATGGGTCTCGGGTCTCATCGGTCGCAGGGTTCAACCCTTTCCTCCCCGGAAGCCACCGGTCTGGGCGGTCCCACCATCATCCGATAAGTCCCACCTCAGCGAGGCGGGACTAAAGACACCAAGCCCGTCTTCTCAACAGGTTCCCCCAAACCCTGAAAAGGACGCAGAAAAATCATTTGAGGATGCGGAAAGATCAAAAGATCATTCATTCGTTGGCAGCTTGGGGCCTTTATCACGTATGTTTCTTCTGTTGTCCGGATGAAAAACCGTGTCACTGTTTTCGCCTTTTTGTGCAGGGAAATCATCCGGAGCTGGGGAATCGTTTGTGTTGCTGGGCAACTCTGGATGAAATCACACTGACTTAGGGGAATTCAGGGGAATTTGTCCGATTTCCGTCTTGGATCCTTGAATGAGCTTAGTACAATTGACCAGGTGGCTTCGGATTGGAGCCTAGGCTACAAGGAGGAAAACCACCGAACATGACCTTCCACACAGGGATGAGGAGATACAGTCAATTCTCAAAAACGAACTTCTCACTCACTCACATGCAGGCCACATCCCATCGCATCCGCATCTCCGACACATGCTGCATCCATCCTGCCTCGCCACGACCTACCCAAACCGACCGAGGGCACAAGCCACTTGAAAATCCACAACCGCACTGCAACATCCTATTCACGAGCACCACTCAACAAACCTCACCCACCACAAAGAACACATGCTGCATCATGCTGCGACCAGCTCTCCCAGCACCTGGTCATTCTCACCCAGCCCAATGCGGTCAGCAACCCTCCGACCCACCCCTCCCAACACCTGGTGCACCTGACCACACCTACCAACCCCACCCAACCCCACGTCGACCGGCTTCCGTGGTTCTTAGGGGGGGGGCGCAAAGCCACGGTCGGAGCGCGGTTCCCTTTCGCCCCGGGCACTTGGCGATGATGTTCCGCGTCTGCTCGTCGTCCCAGCCCCAGTGCCGCTCGATGGCCGCCACCTCCACGAAGCCGGTGCCCTCCACGTCCTCCAGCGGCGCGGGGTCCGCCCAGCGCGGGGTTCGAGCGGCGCCCGAACAATCGTGGCGCCCGGTGAGTGGAGTTCGGCGGGCGCTGGGGAGTTCGGAGCGGATAGGGAGGGGGTAAGGGTTGGTTGCCGTGGTTGGTTGCTGCCAGGGGGGTGCATCTGGGTTCTCAAATGTCTGTGGAGCTCAGGAGGAGGCCGCTCTGGAGGTATGAGTGCATCAGAGAGACCCATCAGAAGACCCAACTCAATGTCAGCTTCATCATTGGCTTTTGAAACGCGACTACAGGTGTTTGATTGAGCATCAGCACAACCTGGCAGAAGAAGAACACACTCAGAGGCCTGTAGGAATTTCCCTTGGTCAACCCATCTTCGGTCCATCACCTTGGTCCTCCGAGCGCATCGACGTCCCCCCCCCGCTCCATCTGCTCGAACTCCCGTTCCAGGCGAGCCTGCGGCAGTCGGAGAGCTCTCCCGGCTTAGCCGGGGTGAAAAAAGATCCGATGTTCGACGTGCCAATCGAAAGTCAGAGAAGAATGCGGGAGGACTGACCGTTAAAATCTGCTATGGATCCAGAGTGCGCGTAGCTTGGTGTTCTTTTCTGGACGCTTCGATGTTCAGCTAGCCAGAGCCGTTTGGAGGCCACGGATCTCATCTGTCCACAGGGACTTCCAGGTCTCGAACCGCTGCAGGGACTTCCAGGTCTCGACTGCGATGTCTTTTCTGATTCGCATCGCTCAGTCGCGTCCACTCATGTGTGTCACTCCAAACATGGACCACAGAAACGTGTCACGCCTTCTGTCTTTGGGCCCGTCCCGCGTCCCTCTCCGTGTCGACCCCTCGGCATGCGAGGCGAGGCTGAGGGACCTGGTCGTCGGCCGGCAGGACGGGCATCCTGCTCTTCTTGGCGAAGAGCTCGGCAGCCTCCGTGAGGAGGTCCATCTGCGGCGCAGGGACCGGGACCGCAGGGACGGGACCCTGCTGGGAGGACCGTGGGGGGGGCGGAGGACGGGGCGGTTGGTTTGTTTCGGAGTGAGGGCCTTTTGGAGATTATTCGAATCTTAGAATTCAGATCTGCAGAACATCTATGAACATCTAAATCAACCCATCGAAGGGTTTTTGTTGGGTCCAAAGACCCCAAAGATTTGGACGTGAGGTGTTTGGTGGGACTGGATGTGGTGTTCCATCTGCATCCAGCTTCTGTCTGCTCCTGGTGCTGTGACAAGAATGGTCACAATACAATCCTACTTTATTTGTTTTGCTGCTTGTTGAGGGCTGTGAATGCCAGCTAGTAAAAAATCCTACTGCGACCTCGAAGATCGTTAAAGATGTTGAAAGTGCCTTCTGGCTGCAGGCAACCGATGTGCCACAAACACAGGCTCCGACGCTGGGTGGCTCCCGACGGCTCGCCTCATGGCCTCGCTTCTGAAGGTCGTCGTACTGTTGACACTTCGAATTGCTTCGGGCGCTGCGTGGCTGCTTGGGATCATTGGATGGGGCAGCGAAAAAAACTTCAACGAACTCAGAGAAAGGCGGGTCCCCAGCTCTTGGAATGAACTCACACCAGGACCAGCCAATGAATGGACTGCCCGGACTGCCCTTACCCGTTTTTCGTTGGTCCTCCAAGATTGGGTCAACTGCTGTGAAGGAAGAAGGTAAAGCTGCACCGAGTCGAGATCGGTGTCTCAACCACTGATGAACAAATCGGGAGAACCCATCCATCATGCACCCAAACAGATCCCCAACACCGGGCCAAGGAGATCGTGGAGTAGGACGCGCGAATGGAGTAGGACGCGTCTTGGGATGTGTTCAATTCCGGGCCCCGGGGGCAATGCGAAGAAGTGATGTATATATGACAAGAACCTGATGCAAAAAATAAGAGCCCCGGATGTCATATGCATCAGGTGATTGATTCAACTGATGCAATATATGACAAGAACCTGTGTAGGACTCCTGCGCCGACTGAATAGGTGGTATCCTTGGACGTGGGACATGTTTGAAGAACAGCCTGGGAGCACTTGTGAGTGTTTGAACCCTATGCTATCAGTAAGTGTTAAAGTGAGTTTAAAGAGAAACACCCCATGCACCAGTCACAAAAACCGGGAAAATTGATGAATCCAACGCCTCGTTGGAAATCCCATGAAGAATTGAGACCAGCGCACTGGTGAGTGTCCAAATGCGAACCGGACGAAGGAAGGAAATGCAATGATATATGATGTATGATATTGATATATATATATATATAATATTATATTATATATACTGTATATATAATTATATCGGACCACAAGAAGTGATATTACTTCTATTACTTTAACAGGGAGACCCCCTGACACACCCACACGAAGTTTTTGCAAGCACGTACAGTACCTGCTGTCGTTTCTACCTACTTAGGGGACTTCTTGTCGTACCTTGCTGAAGCTTCTCATCTCTTAGGGCGGCACGATCAGCACCACAAAGACCCCAACCCTTTGCTTGGGAGTTCTCCTCTCTTTGGGCGCCACACCACGGAAGAAAAGCCGCCGTTTTCTCTCACCGAAACACCACCCGTCGACCCGCACCGGGACCGCCGCACCGGGACCGCCGCACCGCAACACCGCAACCCGAGCGGCCAGGACTCGAAGGTGGAGAGGTGCTTCGCTTTGGCGCCCGGGAAGGCCTGGCCGTTCCCGCGGTGCCCGGAACGCGGAGACTGGAAGAACCCGCTGGTGCCGAAGGAAAACCGGCTGGGTCAGAGAAATGATGTCTTTGGAGGTTTGGATGCTGGTGATTTATCAAACGTTCGCAAGCAATCTTGAGCTGAAATGCAGCAAGAATACAACAGGTCAACAACATATTCGTTCAAATATGTTCTATGTATTGTTGTTTCATCACCGGCGACAAATATGGTCTTTCATACCCCCCTGAGAAACCCCCAGTCTTGGGGTCAGGATGGGTTCGGTGGGGAGGTACGTTCGGTCAAAATAGGTTTTTGTGTCCGCCTGAAGCAAAAAGAACTGTTGCTTCAGGTGGAGCATCCAATGTTGCCTTGGAAACCCATGGAATTGAATCAGTTGGACTCAAAAAGGAACCATGTCTTGCCACAAGTCGTTGTGCATGGCCCTCTGGCCTGTCGGCAGATCGCCCTTCAGAACCGGTCCCGCCCGGTACGCATCGCGGGCCTTCTTCAGGAACTGGATGAAGGTCGGCTGCCCTGCAAGGAGCTGCACCATCACACTAGTCTCGGAGACGCCAATCCACCCCACCACACCACCCAGTTGCTCCTCCTAACTCCTCCCAAACACCCCACGAAACCCGCCCAAGAGCTGCTTCGTCGCCCTAATTACTTTATCCCTCCTTTCCCTCCCAGTCCTCGAACATCGTCCATGGTCTTATGCATGGCTTCCGCCACCAACTCCCACAGCTCCAACGTCAAGGGCCGCCGGAGACCGTACCTGCGGCAGACCCCGTCCGAGCCGAGCCGCGGCGGGCGCCGACCCACGAGTCAGTGAAGCGGCTCAACATGTGGCCGCAAGCCAAAGCAGCGACCAGATGGCCCAGCCAAAGCAGCTCAATGAACCTTCACAAGGCAAATGACTTGAGCTCAGAAGAACCCCAGGTGACCTGTGACATGATGCCCCAAACCGATCAGTGTGAGGGTAGTGTCATCCAGGAATCATGAAAAAAACCTAGCTTTTACCGGGAATAGATGTTTTTGGACGGGTCCCATCAGTGACCCCTCTGCTCCGTGAAGGGAAGGGTGTGCCTGGGTACAGCAAAACGCACAGAAGCCAGAAACACCAAAATCCCGCCAAACAAATTAGAAACATGTTTACTTGCAAAAAAATATCAAAGTTTCCCATCTGCCCTGGTCTCAAAAAACAACACTTGCCCTTGGCCGAAAAGCGAAAAGCATCCACCCGGATTCTTTCGAAGGCTCACTCCGTCTCGGAGAAAGTCAGCTGGAAGCTGCCCTCCTCGACACCTCTCAGGTCTGTGTCGTGGCAGTGGTCTTCGTAGTAGCAGCAATAGAAGTGATAGGAGTTGGAGTACGTAGTACAGGAGTGTTGGGAGTACCGGCAGGGAGCAGTATTCTGAGTGGTAGCAGCTGAGTGGCAAGGGACACGGCTGACCCTTAAAGACGTCGCCCACGCCCGCTCATGAGGGCGTTGCTTCGAGGCCGCTGCCCACGGCACCGACTCCGGCGGTGTTTTCAGCCCAAGGCGCAGAGCTCGTAGACATCCCGGACGAAGAGCACCTGCCCAGGCGAATGCCGGCGGCGGCGAAGGCTCGACTCGCGGGGGACTGGGTGGAAGGAGGGGTGGAAAGGCGTTCAGGAAAGGTGCGACCGGGTCCCAAACACCCCGGTGAACCCGTCGTGCCCCCAGCGGTCGCCTGCCACCGGTCGGGCAGCTTCACCTCGCGCGAGGTCTCCAACTCCTGGCGCCGGGGTCCGATCCCGACCGGGCGACCGGGGTTTGTTCCAAGCAGCTGGTGGGGGTTCGTTGAAGACCATCCTGGTTTCTTTTTGGGTGTGGTTTGGAGGGTGGATGCGAAGCGCCCAGATCCCCATCCCCAGAGCCCTCATTTGGCACACCTGCCTTTTTTGGACCTGCTCCTCTTGATCTTGGGGCTTTGGGAGGAGATAGGGAGGTGGTTCATGTTCGTTTTGAAGGGGGCCCGAAAGAAAACGGCCCTTTGGTAGGTCTTTTGATGGAAATCCCAAACTGGAGAGTCGTTCAACCTGGAGAAGTACCTGGACTCTGGAAGGAAAGCAAGACCAACTTCCCCCCAGTCCCGACTGAGCACATCATGCACCCATCATCTCAGCCTGCTCCCACCCCACTTCGGATCGCTCATCGCCCACCTCTTGAGGAACCTCCACGACCTCGCTGTGTGAGAGGAACCACTCCTGGGAACCGAAGGAAACCGGAGGAGAGGGAAAAAGCACCGAAGGATCTGTGACTTCGGATTCAAATCTTCACTGAATTTCAATCATGTGGCCTAAGTGACCTCATTCTGGGATCTCAAAAGGTCACTGGAAAGGTCCTGGCATGTGGCTCCTTCCAACGATATTGGATCCCCAGGCTGCAGTGACTTTCGAAGCCTGACAAAACCTGCGGGCCCATAAGCAAAACAAAGCAGCAACCAAAAATGTCACCCCGACTTGGGATTTCGAACAGTGCAGGAGTATCTTCAAGAGAAGTCTTCACCCTTACTTCTCTTCCTGCGTTTTTGGACCAGGAGAAGTGCACTTGGATGGTCATCCCATAAACGTGGGTGGGATCTTTTAGTGGGTTCTCGGCCTTTCGGTCGGTTCTTTCAGTGGGTTGGTTTAGTTGGTTCCTTTGATTGGTTCTTTCAGTTGTTCTTTTTTGATTGGTTTCTTTTAGTTGGTTCTTTTAATCGGTTCTTTCGGTTGAATTCCCGTTGGTGAAACCCTCGGTTTTTCCGGGAGGTGAGACTCAGCTGGGGGGACGAAGTTGGTTCGTCCAATTTTGAGATGTGCAAAAGCAACTAACCTGTGGAGAATCCAAGTAGACCAAGCAGTCCGATTCTCTGTTTGGAACGCTTTCCGACGCTTTGGTTTGATTTTAAGTTGGACAATGAATCAAGCAAATCCTGGCAACTGCAGAGTCGCAAAAACCAATCGCTCCCTCTTTGGGCTACCGTTTCCGCCCCCCCTTCGCCCCTTCGCTCCTCTGATTTGAGGTGGTACAAATCCGCGCCGCTGCCGCGCGCACAGAAGCGCTCGATGGCCAGAGCATAAGGCAAGGCCAGAGGGTCCTGTCCAGCAATGGTCCACTTGGCTCAACCCAAGTGATTCTTCTCCCACCCAGTGATTCTTCTCCACTCAACCCTTTTTTAAGCTTTTTTAGCTTACTTGGTTCTCTCTCCACGATCATCGTGGTCATCTCTCAGGTGATTCCGTGAAAAGTCGACCAACCATCCACCCGATCTCTCGATGGAAAACGACCGGAAGGATCGGGTTCTCGGACCTCTCATCCTTCCACCGACGCCGAGCGCCGACTCTCCCGGAAAAAAGCACCCGGCCTTGAACTCCCGGAAGCACCAGGCCTCGAGGTGAGGCATGTTGGACCGGTGGGTCCGAAGGACATGTCCAGTGATTGGGATGGAGCGAACTGGACATGAACTGCTCTGGTTGATTGTTTCGCTCCAATTTGCTCTGCCTTTCAGAAAATTGGATGGTCTCTTCTGGAGTGTGCGCTACTTTTCACCTGTGCAACTGATCTCAGAAGTCTCAGATGAACGGAGGTAGCATTTGGACCATGACGAAGCTAAATTCATCTGACACGGTCAGGCGTTTCACGGGGTTCGATACCCTAAGGCCAACACCTTTCAGCAGAGATATTCCAAGGATGTCTCCCCCACAAGGCTCCAAGGTCGGTCGGTCAGTTGGTGAGGATCAGTCAGCATTGCTTAATATTGGTTTGATGGTTTGATGGTTTCCTCCAAGGCAAACCCACATCGAACATCACCTGACACATCTCAACCAGGGTTCAGGATGGTTCAGGAACATGTGTACCTTCTGATCAACTGCCAGGTCACCAAAGAAAGTTCAAACATATGTGGTCAAGGGCCCTACAATGCAATCCTTTGCTCTGCCGTGGTCATTTCCCCGAACTTGTCATTTGGATACTTGCACGCTCCGTGGCCCTTTCAGGAAGACGATTCCCCACCACTTTTGCCGCTCTAAATCATCCAATAACCGACCTCAACGTTCCGCACCCGAATTCGTGGTAAACCCGCATTGCGCCTCGACGACCTTGTAGTTGATGACTTGCCGCAAGGGCACATTCTCGCCCTTAGAACCGCAGCAAGAATTGTTTTGAGTAGGCCCCCAGGCCAAAGAGAAGGAGCTAACCCCATCTGGCAAAGCAAGGACCCAAAACCTGACAAGAGCTCGCGTGAAGAGAGAGAGACAGAGAGAGAGACAGAGAGAGAGAGAGAGAGAGAACCTGTATACAGTGTCTTGAAGCTGACCGTACGCCGTACGCCTTTCTGGACCAAAACGGGTGTTGAAAGAAGAGACTGTGTGACTCCAGTCAGTTCTTTCTCCACAAGGCCACAAGGCCCGTCACCCACCACCAACCCCTCGAGGGCGTTCCTCTGAGAGCGCGGCATATTTCGGGAGACCGTTGACCTGTGGGGCACCGGGTAGACGGAGGTCGTTCGGGCGTGCTGCTGAACATTGGAGCCGTCTACTTAGCGGGACAGCACGGGGGACCAGCGTAAATCCTGGACGGTGTTTGTTTGGAACTGCTAAGCAGCCAGGGGCAACCTCCTTGAACAATCTATCTGGTTTCCGAAGTGTCCAAACTATGCTGATTTGGGTGGAAGTCTACCTGGCGCCTACTGGCGCCTGGGGAAGCTCATCCACTGTGAGTGTCACGGACCACGGGCCGGTCCACCGTGTGTCCACCCGACCCGACGTCGAGTGTGGAGGTGAAATGCCGACACCCAGCCAATGGGTACACCGAAGGGTCGATGCTTCTCGTGGATGGAGGGGGTCGGAACGCCCCCCCGTTCAGGTCTCCCTCTTGGAGTATGCAACCATACATGTAGCAGCTGGTTCCAGGTTCAAGGTCCAGGGTTGGGGGTGAAACCTGAAAACCATGAGTTTCCTGTAGAGTTCCCCTTGAACCAATCCATTGAATGTGGTGACAGCTTGTGCATCGACCAGCCGGCATCGAGCGGATCGATCGCCTCGTCCACCTCTAAACTCTGGGCCCTCTCCAGCTTCGCTTGCCGCTCCTTGATGGCCTAGCCAGCGCGCTGGGCATGGCAGGGTCCAAATTCGCTCATGTCCAGCGTCTTGAGTCTTGGGAGAGGAGACACAGTACCACCAAAAGGAGAGCAAAGCAGGCCCACAAACATGAATAAGAACATCTTCAATGTTTCCACTTCCCGAAACTGAACATAACGATCTGCTGAGAAGGCTTCCCCTGCTTTGCTCCTGGTCTCGTCCTCCAAAGCATCAACATTCGGCTTGCTCGCCTGCTCTCCTCCTCTTCAAAAACCTTTGTGCTCTCCCAAACCAAACGAACCGTTGCGACACCCCTCCAACACCCAGAAAAGAACCAACACCCCCTTGGATTTGCTTCAGGAAGCTGAAGAGAAAACAACACATTCCCCTAGAATAAGATTCACCCATATCATAAGAATCACCCGAATCTGCAAGACCAGGCACATCTCCAAGCTCGACCCCCCCAAAAAAACAGAAGAACCCAAAAACACCCAGCGCTCCATCTGACGCCACGTGCGTTCTTACTCGGCCTTGATGAGCATGTCTCGGGTCACTTCGCTGCTCTGCGACATGGACATCAGCCGCTCCGCTGCCTTGGCCTCGGACAGCATCCGGTGCATCAGCAAGTGGATGTGACAGCGCACCGTCGCACAAAACGTCCACGTTTTGGGGGGAAGAACATGGGCTGAAAACACCAAACGGGCTTCTTTTTCAGAGAAGAACCACTTGATGTAAAAGTGGAGATCTCAGCATGACAGCTGAATACGACCCTCTCGCACCCTTGGCACCCATCGCATGCATCAGTCACCTTGCATCGTCTGGTCGCTATTTCAGTCCGTCGCCAAGCGGCCGAGATCCGGTCGTAGAGCCGCCGTCCCAGCTCACCTTGGTCGCCCGAGCGAGGCCCTTCAGCGGCGCCGAGCGAGGCCCTTCCGGGTCGTTCTCTTTCGGCCGCCGCTGCGCCGTTCCGTGTTGGGAGGAGACGGAGGAGACAGAAATCATGTGAAATGATCACACATCCAACGTCCCTCTGCCAAACATTTCCGCGTAGAACCTCAAGTGTCACAAACACATGACATATGTGTTTAGATGGACGGGTCTCTCTCAGCCCATCTGATCCCTGCACTGGATTCAATACAGGCATGTGAAGTTCAATGGTTCACGGAGACCCGAGGTGGATCTCTTCATGAACAGCAACAAATCCACTTGTCTTCGAGTGTCAAGCCTCCAATCGTTGAACGTCGCAGGGCAAGGAGGCCATGCATGAGAGCGAGTGAGGCCAGTAGAACCCACTGAGGCAGTGACCGGTGAGCTTTGATGTGGGCTTTCATGCGGATGATTCATTTCTTCAGGTACCATGACTGGTCTTCTTGAAGAAAGTCGGCAAAATGAAGCCTGTTCCATCGTGCTGGGCAACTAAACCCCTGCAAAAAGACCCGACTGCCAGCAGTTTTCTCTCACTCAATAACCACCTATATCGACAAAAACAAGAACCTACGTGCATATGTATATATTATATATTGTTTGTTTATATGCCAATATATATATATATATGCATGTTCAAAGTAGTTCAAACATGTTCAAACAGCTTGTTTTCCACCCTGCATGTCAGCTGAAGCCAGTCACTCTGCACGTAAAAAAACCGTTCACCTCTTACAGCCAGCCCCCCCCAACGCCGAACACACCGAGGCACGGATGACCTCCAGGGACGGCATCATGGACTCCTCCGACCGGCGGATGCCGGAGACCGAGGGAGTCCCAGGAACGGCCAGGCCAGCGGTGATCGCAGCGGGCGTGATGGGTTTTACAGGATATCCCATTGACCGGCAACGGTATTATAACAGTGTTTTGTTTTTCAGGGTCGTGGGACAGGCCGAAGAGTGTGTACTAAATGTCCACATTGACATCCCTAATGATCCCTTTTTCTTGCCAGAAAGCTACCCCTATGAATCAAGCCCAGCTGCCGCAGAAAAATCAAAATAATTAGTTTACTACTATAGATTATAGATATTCTTATTTACTTTCTTTTTAGTCAGCATCCAATATCTTCTGGTCAGCATCCATTGTTCCACAATCTCTAAAAACTCTCTAGCAAAATTACTTCATATTCTCTTATTAAAACTCTATCAAAATCTTAAGGTGTTCAAGCTCACAATGGGTACCCCTTACACAGGCCTCATGGTTCATACATAATCCTATCAACCATCATCCATCAGGTATTCACCTTTATTAGGCGGATGGTCTCCAATACCTCCAACATCAAACCTTGTTGACCTTGGATGGACGAAGGGGGAGACATTGATTCGTCCCAAATGACCCTGTCCCTCGGAGGTCTCCCTGTCCCTCGGACCGTTGGGTCGGGACGAAGCGACGAAGCGCCCCCAAAAAAGGGCGAATCCGGGGTTTCCTCTCTGGCCCGATTTCGGGTTTCGAACGGCGACCGGTATGGAGCTTTGGGTCGAAGATGTAAAATGGATGTTGCTTCTTGTGGTCTACGACACGTCTACAACGACACGCCTTCGACGTCCCAACCGGAAATCGAAGCCAAGCCTTCATCAAACCCGCAGGGCGCAGCCCTCGCCACCAGAGCCAACTCTGGTCATCGTCAAACTCCCAAATCGCCCAACACCCAGAAACCCGGCAGTGAAGTGTGGGTACAGTAGCAAGGTGTATACCAAATCCCTTCAAACACATTTAAGAAACAAACCCATCTGTCCAAAACAAGTCCTCTCCCTTGCAAGTCCGTAGCTGTTTCAACAGTCTGGCGTACCTCGCCCCACCGGACTCCCCAAACGCCCGCCTTGCTCATCAGCCCAAAGGCTGAGCCTAACCCCCGCACAAAGGCGGTGATGAAGTTCACGAACTGCATCTCGTCCAGCGTCCGGCCTACGAATTGGGACGAATTCGGTTGAAAACCTGGAGCCTTCGGTGGTGGACGAATTCGGGTGAAAACTTTGGGAGGGTTTCCCTTCTCTAGTGCACACCCAGGAAGATGTTTGTTTGTGGGACACAAGAACAACGCAGAGCTTGGGGAAAAGGGTTTGCACACTTGGGCTTGGGTTTTCACTTGAATAGGACTGCTGTTAGCTGAAAGCATGTTGGGGCCATTCTGCTCAGACCAACGAGTCGCAGCTATTGTAGCATCTCAACTGGGAGAATCTCCTGACATCACCAAGGAAAGAACCGACATCACCAATGCCAGTCTTCAGGTGATGTCCACCTCGCCGGTCCAAAAAGCCTCCCACCCAAGAACTGGGCCGATCTTCACAAGACTCTGGGGAGCCTCCAAGGGAGAAGGGGTAGCCACTTCATGGGCTTCTGGGCTTCGCAACAGCGTGATGCTGTTGCAGCCTTGCTGTGAAGAAGCTGCACCAGCAGTGGGTCCCAGCTGGGTGGTACATCAACAAGAGAAGATTAAAGAGAATGAAGAACCCTGGGACCAACAACCGATCATCCCCCGGGTCTGGTGGTTGCTCCATTGGTTTCGGTAGCCATCAAACCTCAAATAATATTCTTCCAAAACCCCGGCTCCAACATGTCGAAAAAACCCGGCTCGAGCGACTGTCATCATGATCCGCCAAGCCGAAGATGAAGCGCAGCTTGTCCTTCGGAGCCTTCGCAAACGGCCGGAGTTCTCTGCAGTGTGAAAAAAGGACTGAAGGCGGCGGGTTGGAGCCTTCGTCATCATTTTGATGAGTCTTTGTTTGGGACGATGGAGGCAAAGTAACAAAGGGATAGATGTATATATAGGTGGATTGACATGTGTGTAATGAAGTTGCTTGGGCTCTCAACCTTTCCTCAAAAACTCTGCCATCAAACTTGAAGTGAATGAGCTAAACTCTTCTCAAACCACTAGGTCACTAGTAATTATGGGATGGTTTGCCCATCCAATCGCGCCGTGTTGACTCTTCTCTGGCTCCCAACTCCCCATGGTTTTCGTCGGTCCAAGCCACAATGAGCTGCGAGAGCAACACTCCCGCGGTGAAAAGGCTCACCATGGAGACTTTCATCCTGGCCCTCGGATGAACACGGAGTGCTGCGCTGCGCAAGAGGCGGTGGGGAGGGGAATGCCAGAGGATCCAGCATCTCTAGGCAATCCGAAACCCAACCAGGAATCCCCAAAGCCAAAAGGGACGGCCCAGAGACTCCCAGAGCCTCAAGCGCGGGTAGTTGGATCGGTGCAAGTCCGAAGAACAAGAATCATTGATGGATGAAGCACACCATGGTCGCTCAAATGCTTCATTTGCCACATCTATTAATTCATGACCCCATCAACCTTCACTCCAAGGTCCATCTCTGATGACTTGTTCTTTTGTTGCTAAGAGTGGCTCCACGTTCTTGCCTGAGTCCCAAGTTCGATAACCCGATAAAGTCCAGAGGCAGTTCTTTGTCCCGACTGGGGACTGCCCAACTTGAGCTGGGTGTCTAGTAAAATAAAGAAAAAAAGACACGGTACTTCCCGGCCGTCTGGAACAAGTCCACCCAACAACATGATCACTGACCAGCGTGTCTTCTCAAAAACTCAAGAACCACAGAACCACACAAACCTTGAAGCGAACGCGCCCAAGACCCCCAAGACCCGCAGTGGTTCACTCTTGGCGCCGTTTCCGGTCACAGTTCGCCCAGGCGCAGCGCAGGTCCAGAGATCCCCTCGGACTCCAAGCGCTTGTAACCTGGCGCGAGGGACCGCGAGGGACACGCTCAACTCAGCGCTAGGGACGCGCTGGCTCGAAGGGAGCGGAGAGCTTGGGCAGCTGTGGGGAGCTGTCGATGCCCAAGTCTGGAAAGAGTTTCACCAAAAGAATCCAAGATCAGTGGGGTTTTGGGGAGACTTTCACAAGTGGAACCCACTGGTGCATTTAGTGTCATCGTCGACCACGCCTCTCGATCTGGACGCAAACACCAAGCTTTTTGGTTGGTGCCTCCGCAGGACCTTTTTCGAAAAGTATATTTGCATGGAATAATGTTGGCGCTTTCTGGCTGCAGAGCAGAGGTCTTGAAGGATCTTGAGCGGTGTGTTCTTTCTATTTGGGACGAGCACTGCATCACCGCTGGCGCGGCAGTGCCCACGTGGCTTTGTGGCGACTTCGCCGCACCGAAGCATGACCGAAGCATGCGAACAGACCTGGTGGGATCGTGGGGAACCAATCTCCAACGATCCAGGGGTACCGCAGCTTGGTACAAAAACCATTCAAATGTGGGAGCGAAGTTCACCTCCCCGGATCGAAGGTACCGAGTCTAGTTGATGAGAGACGACGCACGGCTGTGTCCAAGGGCATCTAACCTGAGATGAAGGTTGTCCCACTATGACCGCAGTGTAGTGTCTGGTGCTTCCATATATTTCACCACCCAAAAAAGGCGTCCAGCCTGTATGTGTCATTGGACGGCCGTTCAGCCGCCCCATCCATCTACACACACGAGCTCGCGTCGGTTTCCCAGCCTGCCGGATCAAAAAGCTTACCTCAGCGGAAGACCACAGACGTGGGGTGTGGCAAACGTACGACCGACCGGAGAATGACTCATTACCAATGTGTAGTACAGTGTTCTGCCTTTGATCGGACAGAAGGAGAAAGACATGTGAAAATTCCTGCATGAATATCCTGAAATCATGAATGATAAGTGTACTTTTCTTAGGAATGGGCTTACTCTCCATGAAACCAACACAAATGACCAAATTTAAGCACAAAACCCTAATGTTGCCCTTCAGCCAAGCTGAACAAACCCCAGCTTTAAAAGCAAGAACGCCACTGACACAAAGGCAAAGCAAGAGCATTCCTACAACATCCAACAACCGATAAAGTAGGATACATGGTGCCTTAGACTTGCCTCGTTTCTACTGCCGACTGCCTGCTCAAGAAACATTGCTCCGCCTGCTCAGCCTGAGCAGGTCGTCCATCCCGACGAGAGGCAAATGTCCTTTAGTCGATGTCTTGGGAAGTTCAGGATCCTCAGGACAGGAGGACAGGAGTCAGTCACCCAGTCGCGAAGTGTTTCAAGCAGCGAAGCCAGGTAGTACACTCACTGGAATTTTCTCAAGGGCCCCAGGAGGCCAGGTGCCAACCTGGCCCCCCAGACCGGAGGGTGTCGATCCTGTGCTGTGCGAGACTCCAGGAGTTTGCTTTGCTCCACGAGCAAAGCAAAGGCCGCTTCGGAGGCCCAAAGATCATGTGAGCTCGCAAGGACCAGGGACTGGTGCAGCACTCTTTCGTGCAAAAAGACATGTAGAATGTAGACTCTCGAGTCTAATCAACCCACCCCGATTGGATTGAAACACCATCTCGCTAGTCCGATATTTTATGAAACAAGAGTCTATACAAGGCCAGGGCGGAGATCGGTTCAGCTCTGGGTCAACAGGGATCCCAACAAAAAAGACCCCAACCGGCCGGCCGAGGGCTGTTGAGCCTCTTGGGCCTGGAAGGACGGACGGAGGAGTCGAAACAGGCCTGGCCTCGACGTGTTTTCAGGCATGGGGATAACCGCTTTTCCAGGGAACAGAAACAAACAAAATGAGGGACCAACCAAAACGGTTCTCCATGTCCAGTTTGCACTCTACAGGTCTATGAACTAATGCTTATTCTTCCAGCAGGTCGGCCATGCAAAATCTGCCTCAATGCAGCCGCCCACCACGAGCTCACGAGCTGAGGCACATCTCCAATTCGAGGCCGTCGACCTGACCCAGAGCGGAGGAGCTCGAGCGGTGGATTTCGACCGCTCATCGAGCAGCAAAGTGCAGATGCTGGAGATGGAGATGATCTGAGGAATCCAAAAAAAAACAGTTTTCGGATGATGAAACATGAAAGATCCTGAAACGAAGCGATCGACAGACACCCAACAGCCAATCTTATTCGTTTGGGCTTCGATTGGGACGGGGGTGATTCTGATGTGACCCCGACAGGCTTTTCCAATTCGCCCGACATCTCCCGGCCAAACAGAAGTCAAAAGGCTACCAAAGAAGAATACATTCTCCGACACCAGTTTAGAGGACGTATGTACCAGCACCTTCAAAGGGGTCACCAATGGAAGCCCCAGCCCACTCCTATCGGGGATCTCCAGACAGGACACCCGTTGAAGGTCCAGGTATACAGTATATATATATATATCCATGATTATCATCACATAATATATTAGTGTATATATTAATTATCATCCTAAAAGGCTGTTTGACCTTGTTGCTGGCTCTGCCGTCTGGGCCCGCGGGGTTCTTTCCCTTCGAAGGAGACTGACATGTTAAAGGTGACTGGTCGGTCGAACGGTCACCGACCATGGATGAGAATTGGAGGAAAGTATTCGGTGGTGGTGTCAGGGTGTTTCACCCTACCTCAGCCGCTGTAGTGTCATCTACTTCGAAGAACTGTTCAACATGGTTGTCGTTGAATCAAGGAACCTGATTACAGCCTCATTTTACAATTGATGGGGTCCTTTTGGTGACAAACCGGATAGGTCAGCATTTTCCAGTTCACAAGCACCCTCAGCACTAAGCCCATGGCAATCTCATCTTCCCAGGCGTCTTCCCCCCGTATTCTTCCCCTCTCACGGGAACGAACCGAACCGGACGACCCGGTTGGGAAGGAACCGAACCGAACCGGCGCCCACCACGAGCCTTGCCGGGAGCCTTCGACTTGCTCTTTCTCCCCAAGTCTTGCCACCTGGCAGGGAAAGACCCGTCCCAGCCACTGTGACGCTGCCGCGACGCTGCTTTTTTCACGAAGGACGCGAAGAGGTCTTGGGGGGCACTCCATTTTGGACATCAAAAGATCGCGAGGTCGTAAACGATCAGCCTGGCCGAAACCGAAATCTGCTGAGGAAGAGTGAATGTTTCAGGGCAGATCCGAACCTGGAATGAGTGGCACTATTACTGATCTCCTTCTGTGCAAGTCTGCATTCCTGAGATTCGAGCCTGAGATTTTGAGAGCTCTGTCACACTTTTCACTGCTTCTCATCATGCCCAAAAGCCATCTGTTCAGGTACCCAAACCATCGATCTTCCATGTTCCTGGCCTGCTCTCTCTCTCTCTACTGTTGCGATAAAACTCGATGACCCATTTCTGACCCTCCGACAACTCCTCCAGCTAGAAAACCAGTCCTTCGGCACCGAGTTCCCAGAGTGAAGGGCCTTTGACCGTCCCCCCGCGGCACCCCCCTCGGGTGACCGGTTCACGTGGGGCAACGGTCGGAGGTTTCTCTCCGGGCGCACCTGTTGTAACAGCGAATCCAGAACTCCAAGGTCCTGGGAGGGAGACGACAGGGTCCCACGTCTGGACCGTTTGGGCGCCAAGTGCGACAGTGGTATTTGAGTGCCTTAGAAGTTAGATGAAGTTACTGTCACGTGTTCCAAACCTGCCAGTTTGACCGAACCACGAGGATGCTGACTTTCTGCGCGCTCTGTGTTTTGCGCGCGCGTGATCTTCACAGTTTTGCGCGCCTGTTGCCGATGAGGCGGAACTCCATAGGCGGTTCCCCTGTGAGGATGGTGGACCAGAACTGACCTTGGGCGACGAGGGGGGGGGGCTCCAGGCAGCAACATTGGGGGCATCAAAGGATCGAATCACCCCACCGGATCGATCAAGACCGGTCGAATCGACCACACGGGTTCAACCACCGGTTTGATGCGGTTTCCACCAGTGGATGTAATGAACCATCGACCCGGTGGATTGGCGGCCACCAGTACAGGTGAGACCGTCTGTGCCCAGTACAGATGAACCAAGTTGGAGAAACCAATGAACCAGGGTGTGCCCAGTACAAGGCGATGTCTTGGAGGACAAATGACTGACCTATGGGGCATGCGGCACGAGTATCTCAGGTCAGTGGCATAGCGGTGAAACAGGCATCCTGCATCTGTGTCCCAGCTATCTTGACTAGGAAGAGAGAGAGAGAGACATCATTCAATTGTGATCAACAGGTCTCGCTTATTTCGAATCCAGAACATGTCAGTCCCACCAAGTCCAGTCGCTCCAGACGTCGCAGGATCACCAGGCTTCGCCCCCGCGGTGTCTTCCTTTCGTCCTCCACCGGGCTCCCATCCGGCTCCCACCGAGGCGCCATTGAACTTCCAATCCGTCCATTCGGAGGTGATGGCCGTTCCGATCTGGTCCATCGAACCTGGGGTTCGACACCCGACCCGATCAAGCCGGCGAGCCGTGCAGCCGGCGACGTCGTGGGCGGTCAGATGCAGTCATTTGCGCGAATCGACTGACTAGAGTTGACCAGGCTGACAGACTGACTGAGTGACTGGCTGACGACTCTGGCTGCCTGACTGACTGGCTGGCTGACTGACTGACTGACTGACTGACTGGCTCTGACTGGCTCTGACTGACTGTGGTAACTTAAGTCAGCCCCAGATTCGAGTGAAAAGACTGTGTCCACCCAATCCATCGTCTCACACGAAGGACCCACCGATGCTTTCGCCCCAGGTCGGTTGGGGTCGGACTCGTCACCGTTGGTCACCTGTCAACACACGATGAACGCCATTGTTCACGAAGACAGGCCCCTTTTTTCGATGTACATTTGTGTGAACCATTTGGTTGATGGAAAAGGTCGTTCAGTGGAAAACGACAGATGATCAAGCTCTTATGGATTCTCTCTTCTACCTCTTTGCTCACCCAAAAATCCTCCCCCAACAAAAGGACTCAAGTCACTGAGAAGTGTTCATGCACAGCTCCGCGTCTTTCGACTTGACCCAGCTCTGCCAAGGAGGCGGATTTTTTTCGCTCAGTGGCAATCGATGAAGGACAGCTTCCTGGGACGTTCCTCGCCCATCCTCGAGAAATGCGCGACCGGCGCACGACGTCCGAGACCTAAAAAAGAGAAAGCAAAGAGGAATCGGACGTCGTGATTGCCTTCCAATGACTTGAAACACCCCAAGAGAGCGCAACTCCTCCATCGGCGCGGAATGGGAACCAAGGAATCCGTTGGAACTTCACATCGTTCCGGCAAACGTGACATGGTACTCTCCACAAAGGTTGTCTCGACGGTACCTCTGAGAACTTCAAGAACCGGTATCACGACCGCCACGAAGTGACAGACACACTTCTTCACGAAGTGAGCCGGAAAAGCTTAGGTCATCGAATCGCTGAGCAATGCCGAGTCGGTATCCCTCCAGTTCGAACCATTGGGCCAACGTGGATGGAGAAGGCCTGAAGGGAAGACCATGAAATCCGAATACCAAACAGGTGGTGCCATCACTTGCATGATGATTCCAGGAAGTGTACCATTGTTGCAGGCACAGTCAATCCTTCCGAAACACTGATCCAAACGACTGTGTCAGAGGTAAAGCTTCGTGTACCATGTTTCGAAGCAAAAATGAAAAAATGAATGAACCCTAGAGAACTACATAGACACAATGCACATGATTCATGAGCTAAACAAGTACCCATCAGGAGGGCGGGAACCTCGATCACAGGTCCATATGCACTGCCTTGACATCGACTCCAACTTGATACCTAACTGCCCCCCTCCAAAGCTCAAAATTCTTAGAGGGCACCTGTCGATCACCCCTGGATTCAGGTCCTCAATCGCCCTCTATCTGGGACCAACTGGACCGTTGAGGCCTCCTGCAACCCTCCTCCGGCCCCGCTCCTGGCTGAGTTCCCACTGAGAAGCGCTTCCCTAGGCCCTGCTGCTTCTCTGTTGGCAGTTCTCCTATGATAGGACCCAGCGTCCCGGCACCATGAGCCCGCACGAAGACGTGCAAGAGGCCCAACAGGCCGAAGTTGCTCCTCTGAGATGGTTCAACTCACCTTGTCAGCTAAACATGTTTCTGTTCACAAACCAAAATTTGGTCTGTTTGGTTCGTACCTTACCAGATGGGCTGCCGATTCATGTTCCATGACATGGTCCATTCATCGTTGGCCCACCGGTAACCGCTCACCTCTACAAAATCAAGCCTCTCGTATGGCATTGGCAAACGTGTTTCTTTGAGCCAATTGCTTGGGAACCATCCAGAACACATGTCATTTTAAAAAAATATATATGCATCAAACCATGTATAAAAACGATATGCATTTGCAAGTCTGCTTTCACTGAGAAACTAGCAACGAAAAAAACCTGTAACAATGCTCCTTGAACACCAAAGCACTGCCACCTCAACAAGCGAAATTGAAGACTTAAAATGTGCAAAAATGACAGAATCTCTGGTATCAGGTCACCAATAGTAATTGAAACAAATCTGTGGTTTGATCTCACGAACATGTTCACAACCATATACTGACATTGGCACGTGTTTGTTGTGTTTGTCATGTGTTTTTAAGACTGAAACGTACCCCCACAAAGCATGCCATACGTTGATCTTAAAGTTGATCTTTCGAAAGTCGTTTCCAACACCATTGATTTCAGAGTCTTCACAAGGCTCGCAGTTTAGGTTTTTAAGGATCAAACAGAGTATGGTGCTCGCGAATGGTTGCACCCTGAAAAACCTACTACCTTAAGTAAGTAGCTTACAAACGTTCTAAACACAAAGCGAAAGCACGTGCAACAGCTCACAAGCAACGAAATAGCACTCGCACCACTTTTACGCGCACTCTCTGGGCCTTGAGCCAAAGTAAAGTACAAAAGGCTATGAGGTATTCCTGCATACAAGCGAGACACTGAAAGTGTCGAGCTTAAACGCACTCAAACATGCACAAAACTGTTCAAGAAACATTCACACTACAAAAGCTACAAAGACTTCTGTTCACAAAGCTTCTAAACATTGTACATTCCATGAGCTATGCTCTCCCAAGCTCTCCAAACGCTTCGAAACACAAAGTTCCGGTAAGGAACACTTGCTCAAGCACTCGAAATGCAAAACTATGCACTCCAAAAGTACAAACCGAACCTCACAGCTACTGCATTAGCCCGCACCTCGCTACCTCACACACTTTCACACCCCCTTTCGAGGTGAGGCTCATTCACTCTGAGCTAGTGGTGACCTGAGTAGAGGCGGTGGCTTCAGTCCTCTCAGCTTTCCAGCACTCTTTGGAAACGATCTTTTTGCATGCCTTGCAAAGTTGAAGGTGACATAGTCCCTTCCCTTGAGTATAATGGCATAACGGGCTGCAATGGACTACAGTTCCCGTGCGGCAGATGTGTAACCACTCCTTCCAGAAAGTTGGTGGAATCAAAACTTCCACTGGGCCCAAAGTAGTCTCCACTCCTCAAGATACAGACATCTTGGCATTCACTTCCTCATCTCTATGGCTATGACGTTCCTTCCCATTGATCGTCACATTCACGCCACGAGACTTGCAGAAAGTTTGACTCAGCACAAATCCAGTAAAGATCCCCCATGCTCGAAATCACTGCCAAAAGAATCTCAAATTCACAACCACCCAGCATACTCAATCCTGCTTCCATGGCCATCACGCGTCCCAAATGGCTGCGGATACAAGCAGTCAGCTAGCACAGCAAGCACAGCAAGCTTGAGCCACACACAAAACAGAATAGAATAGAAATTGCACTCACTCAGAGTCTCCAGACCTCCATGGCTTTGCCAATAAGACCTTCTGATCTCCGATTCCAATCCTCTCTTCAAGAGACATTCGACCGAACTCGACAACCTCAGACTCATTATAAAATCTATCCGATTCCTCCGACATTCGACATTCGACGCTCTTCTCAAAGAAAACCTCGAAAACCTAGACAAAAGATCTCTTTTTGCGACGTCCTTTCGACTTGATCGAAGCTGTGCTGCAAAAGAGAAAACACCCATCATGGTGTAAGATCCATCTCGGACCTTTCTCAGACACGGCAGCGTCCGCTCATGCATGTCCAGCCTCATTCCTTAGAAACCGAACGAAGTATCGAGCGAACACACGGGTGCATCGTTCCGTCTCTGTCCAATTGACATTGTTGAAAGCTGCGCGCTCGACAATGCACTGACACTTAAACCTTTCCGCTAACCTGTTTGCAACCTCCTTTCTGTTCGACATAAAGCCTGAACCTCTTTCCAACTGGTTGTTGACCTTTGGTAAACATCTTCATTGAACATCCGTTCACGATACCTTCAAACTCTAGATGCTGGTTCGACAAGACCTTTCTCAAGACTTCTGACTTCCAGTACTGGTTGTTCGCTGGTAGCTCTAAGCTCTTAGATACCTGTCCATGAACCTCTTGAACCTTCTTCAAAAGACAATCGACAGAGTTGGCTAGTTCCTCAAAGACCTCAACATGCCTCTGCCTAGACTGTTGATGGAAATTCAAAACCGGACTTCCTCCAGCGCATGGCAAAGAAACATGAACATGGATCCACTTAGTTCCACACTTGCCAAGCTCAGATCGATGGTGGTCCTTTGGCTGGTTCCTGCGGCTCTGACAGCAAGAATCACTTGTTGACAGAATCTCTACTTGAACTGCCGCTTCCTGTAGACAATCGTGACATCCAATGTAAGATATTGCCTACCTCCATACAAGCCTGCCTCAGACATGAGTCTCGACCACAACAAAGTTTGACAAAGACAATACCTCTACCGTGTATATATTGGCCTGGCTCCCGACGAGTTCTCAGAGATGAGAGAAAACTCATGTACCGATTGTTGATCATCGGTGTGACATTGCCCGCTCCAAGACAAGTTAGACAGACCTGGGTCTCAGTCGATGCTGCTGGCAGCGTAGGAGCTGGCGGTACGTTTGCCAAAAGCGGCTGAAAAGGAGCTGCCGGCGTCGTCGGAGTCTCAGGAGGCGGTGGCGGCGGCGGCAATCCGACTGTCTGCAATGGATGCATGTTCAGATCTCGACCTGGTACAGCACGCCGTACTGGTCTCGGCGGGGGCGCCATGGGCAGATCTTTGGAGTCCTTCTTGTCCTCCTTCTTCTTGAGATCCTCCTTCTTCTTGGAATCCTCCTTCTTCTTGGGCTCCTCTGAGATGATCTCCGATTTGACGGATTTCATTTCCTCTTTAGCAAATCCCTCACGTTCATAAGGTCCAATGCCCACTTGTGAAGTGGTAGGTGGTTGGTACTCCTGGCGCAATCGCGGCAACAAAGTGACCACTGGTCGAGTAGGTTCTGGCTGAGGCACGCTGCCTGCTGGAACCTTCCTCTTCTTTGCAGCTGGCCTGGCCTTTGCCTGAGTACCCTTGCGCTTGCGCCAGATGGAAGCATCAGCTTCATCTGGCTTGGTTGGCTTCTTCGGCATCCTCTTGACGGGAGTGGGGGTTTGTGTACCCCAATCCCATCCTCGGGTCACCTTGCGAACGTGCTTTGCTCGCAATCGATGCTTCTTTCCTCCCCTTGCCCTGAAGCGTAGCACTGTAGGATATTGTCTTTCCATCGTGAAGAGCAGGAATTGTACGAGCTACCGATCCTTTGACATTTTTCAAAGCCATAACCTCGATTGCCCTGCTGGCGCCAATCATCTTCGGCCTCGAAGGCATCAGCTTTGCTGCAGGCTTTGACCCCGGCGCAGACTGAGGCGGCGATGCTTTACCCTTGGTCCGACCCGGGCGTGGTGCTCCCGTCTTTGGCGTGGTACTCTTTTCGGCCTCACGCTGGTGAGCCATCTTGATGTCTTCTTTGGATGGAATTGCTCGGAACTCTTCGGAGTAGGTCACGACCCTGCTCGACGACTTTGCTTCTTGCAGACGTCTGTGTTCGTTGTCTGCCTTAGACAGCTCGGATATGACACCCTGCAATTGCCTGTTCAGCTCTGCAACGTCTTCTCTCTTGTTCGCAAGCTGGGACTTCACATCAAACAACGCTTCTTCAACTTTCGGCTCTTTTTCCACAAGACCCTGAAGCCGTTCCTGCCTCGAGACCAAATAATGCATGTGTTCTTCTGCGCGAGCGAGCTCTTCCTCTGGACTCTCTGGCTGGATGGGTTCAAACTCAAGACGACCTTTGCGACCGTAGATATTCTTTCCACCTGAACGACCCTTGACTTCCGTAATTGACATGAACGCTGCGAGGGCGTTCGTCACACTTGCCCTGGTGGCTGCCTGATCCTGCTGCTTGCTGACAACCGACGGGTGGAGAAACTGGTGGTGTCTTTGGTGGTGGTCGGATTGGCGGTGTCTTGGGAGCCGGTATTGGTGTGGGACACCATGAAGGACTCTTGGGATGTGATGCAGGGACTGGTGGGGTCTTCGGACCTGGCCTGTCAGATGGCCTGATGTTGGCCCGGCAAGCCCAAATCTCCCCGCATGCCTTTGAGAGATGTCTTGCACTCCGGCAGATTAATTTCGAGAAGACAGAGGCCAAACCCCTCGAACTGCACACGCTATACACCTGACGGATGCTTCCTGGGGTCAGGCATTGACCAATCAGATTTACCAGCTGATTTCAACTTCTTAGGGCCGGCTGCATGTGAAAACTGCAAGCGGCTGCAACGAGTTGATCTCTTTCGTGCTGATCTATCTGCTATTTGGGGTCTACCTTTGCGCACTGTTCGCATTTGGAGCAACTCTGCTTTCCAAAGAGGCTACGACGCATTGGACAAGAAGCCTTGCTGTGTTCTTCGCTGCGTGAAGTGCACACCCCGCCTGCTTTGCTGTATGTCGCTCACCGAGCATTCTCAGGATGCACATTCTGTGACTCCCGTGGCAAAGCTGTTTAGGAGTCACCGCCACAAGCTCTTGATGCATCGCTGTCCTCCTCCCCTTGGGGAGGAGTTGACCCCATCGAAGGGAAGTCCCAACTTTGGATTCGGCTGCGCTGTAGCTGTGCTTTCGACAGTTTGAAGCCTTCGTAAGCTGCTAGCAGTGGTTTTCCTCTGGCACAGTCTTTGCAAGCTTCTTGATACCCGAAGATGCATGGCTACATCGCTGTCTTCAAAGCTCTAAGTGCTC